GTTAATCGGCGTATGAAGTTTAGCACACTTGCGGATCACATACACCACGAGCGAGTTCAAAACAATGGTAACGCTGCAGACGGAAGATATGAGAAGCCAGTAAGCAACGCCGAGAGGCTGCCGCCATCGCTTGCCATCGTCGCCGCCAAGTAAGGACGAGTTAAATGTGTAGCTGACGTTCAAAGCTTGGTCATCATCCATAGTTGTTTGTCACAGATTCACTCAGTCCTCATTTGAAACAAATAAATGTTCGATGATTCAGCTGTGCAGCAATATCTGTGTCGTGTTCAATAATCGGTCAAGCCACCGTCTATTCGTTCCCTCAGGCGTCACTGCGCCCGTGGGGCACAGCTACAAGAATAATAATAAGCTAACGTCCACTCGTTCACACTAACACGCTGTGTGTGACTGCTTCTGGCAAGACGAATGACAGTAGCAACTGTAGACGGATGACAGTAGCTGTTTAGACAGATGACAGTAGCTGTTTAGACGGATGACAGTAGCTGTTTAGACGGATGACAGTAGCTGTTTAGACGGATGACAGTAGCTGTTTAGACGGATGACAAGACAGTAGCTGTTTAGACGGATGACAGTAGCTGTTTAGACGGATGACAGTAGCTGTTTAGACGGATGACAGTAGCTGTTTAGACGGATGACAGTACAGTTGAACAATTTTAGACGTGCTGGATGACAGCATGAAAGTAAGTTCAGCAACACGATGGTTGACGTTTGCAGCCACAAGACACGTACACTTATATGTATTCACTTATATACGTCCACTTATATTCGCGTGTCTGGATTATTAATGACAATTATTGCTCGCTGGCAGCACGCGAACACAGCACATCCGTGACACCCGTATGCGCAGTCGCAGATTTACTTCCACACACACGTGCACGCGCGCGCACGCACAGACACGCACGCACGCACACAAACAGCCAAGATGGCTTATGCGGTGCGCGCAGGCTACATAATTCTTCCTCCTCTCTCTCTCTCTCTCTCTCTCTCTCTCTCTCTCTCACTCCACACCTCCCATACACCCGCTATAAGGCTTCGATAAAGAACACGATTACAGAACATTTATTAATTTATTTCGTCATTATCAGCTTTATTAAATTTCTGCCGCATGATTCAACACAAGCATAAAACAACAAACACAACCACTATATATATATATAAAGCTAACGTATACCCAGTATACGTTACAATGTGATCATTATGCACAGCAACCTAAAGGGCAGAAACGGGCAATAGTACAGCAGCTATAAGAGCCATAAATCAAATGAATGGTGCACTTTTATACAAAAGCATGAAAATTGGCACACATTTAGTTAGTTAGATGTAGATTCATGATGCGATCGGGTACCCATCTCCATCGAAATCGATATTGAATTTCATAATGGCCGCCATTAAAACCCATTATCTTTCATATTTCAGCTAACATAGACACATGATGTTGGTGAACTTGGTGTCTAAACCAACGTTATCCGGGTTAAGGAACCCATTGCAATCAAAATCATTATCGCTTGGTGACCGCCATCTTGAATTTAAAAATAGCCGCCATTCAAATTGGTTACCATTATGCTTCTAAACAATATAGAAACATTATCTTGGTGTCTAAATCAACTAACATTATTGGGGTCAGGGAATCCATTTCTGTCATAAGCAGCATCCCCAGATGGCCGAATTAAAGATGGCCAACATGCTGAAATTACTCAATAAACCAAGTTGTCCACATTTGGCATGATCACATGATAGCAGGTTAATGAGCATCGCCACTGATTTGGATAATACTGTTTGTGACCGGGACCATGAGCAACAGGTTGTATGTCCTCCACCGAAATAATGTTTCCATGTTAAATATTAGCCAAAAATGAAGAACAATTGAACTATTTTTAAATTGGGCTATTTTGAAATTCAAGATGGCGCCCAGATACCATGTCGATGGAGATGGGTACCCGATCTCAAATGAATGTACATATCTTAAACTACCTATGTGTCAATTTTCATACTTTTGTGAAAAAGTGCTCCTGCAAAAATATCTTAGCTCATGTACTACACGAATGACAGCGGTATGCATGCAAGCATAATATACAATGCGTAGCATTGCTAGTGTAATCTAACGGCCTCTATATCTGCGTACGTCGTTCCATCTACGCACAAAAGACCACTACATGTCTGAAACGACATGTCTTCGCAACAGCATGTGCGTGGCGTGTCTCACTGTTAGCTTACTTGTTATCCCTGCGGTCTAGCTGCTGATGACGCACGCAATAGCTGAGCTACACGGACCAGGTGAGTCCATGACGGTAGTGGTCTGTTCCACTCCCAGGCACGCGACACTACTCACCGAGGACTAGCCCCCTCAGAACCAGTTACGACATTTCAGTCATCGAAGTTCAACGTAACGCTCTAATTCACTCTCTCCTCCTTTATAACTTATAATTATGCCCAACCTTTCGCACTGCGCGTGTCTCTTTCTTTATCTCAATCTCCCCCACTCCGTCCCACCCCCCTCTCTCTCCCACTCCCCCGCGTTTCTTGTCATTTAAGTTTTAAGATGTCACACAGCTTATAGGTAGAGGGAACCCCATTCACATTTTGTATGAGCATGTGTGATGGTCTACTATTAATACAACTCATAAAGCAGCTCAAACTCCAAAATGTACCGAGAAAGATCATCAATACTTGCAGATGCAAAACACCTTAATCGTGTATTTCGTATCATCAGCGACACTTACCACACGCTGGTGCTCGCCCCACTCCTACCTTGACCCCCTGAGAACCGGTCCCTGAGATACGACAGTCGCGTAGATCTCACTACATACCATAGGCTGCTCTGCATCATAGCTATCACACGAATAAAAACATATAATATTTGACAATAATACTGACAGGCAAACTTGCCGGGCACAGCTGGCGCTATTTTGATATATTACACGTTGATTAGAGAGCTAAGCTACAATGTACAGAGGAGTCACAGGCGCTCTGGGTGGGTGCTCAGGGGGGTATCTAAGCTGTGGGCGTATCCCACCTTAGATACCAAAATATAATTACGTTACACATCTGACATTTGCAGAGCAGCATTTGACACCGAATCTCAGTCCAGGTGCTGCACCCGGCTTTACGATGCTAAGCGCACGCCCTCTCTCGTGCTGCTTTCTCGCGCACAATATACCGCAACATTAGTGTCACAACACGCAATACTTTTGACCTCAAAAGAGCCAAGTAATACGCCCACAACCCTATAGTCAAACACATAACGATACAATGACAGTCTGATCCACGATAATATTACTGAATCATACTTCTCATCATCTATCCCTTCTCATGCACGGGTGACACAGCATAGCTAAGACCCAATGTGTGAAATATAGTCTGAAGCGACTCCGCGCTACGTTGACTTTCACCGGGTCAGCAGGGCTTTCAGCACAAGGATCTTAACTTCCCGACCGTTTGGTCACCTCCTGTAACACCTGACCGCTACACCTACTGCACGCACGCACGCACGCACGAACGTATACGCACGCGAACACACACACGCACGTACGCACGCGAACTCACACGCGCACGTACGCACGCACGCGCGCACACACACGCACGTAGGCACGCGAACACACACACACACGCACGTACGCACGCACGCGCGCACACACACGCACGTACGCACGCACGCACGTACGCACGCACGCCCGCACACACACGCACGTACGCACGCGAACACACACACGCACGCACGTATACGCACGCGAACACACACACGCACGTACGCACGCACGCACGTACGCACGCACGCCCGCAGACACACGCACGTACGCACCGCGAACAGCACACACACCGCACGTACGTACGACGCACGCGGAGACACACACACTACGCCACGTACGACGCGATACGGCACGCACGCGCAGCGACACACACACGCACGTACGCACGCCCGAAAATCACACGGCACGTACGCCACGCGAACACACAAGACGCACGTTACGCACGCGACACACGACATGCACGATACGCACGCACGCGCGGGCACACACACGCACGTACGCACGCGAACACATTACGCACGTACGCACACGCGAACACAACACCGCACGATACGCACGACGAACACACAGCGCACGTACGCACGCGAACCACCACACGCAGTTACGCACGCGAACACACACGCACGTACGCACGCGAACACATACGCACGTACGCACGCGAACACACACGCACGTACGCACGCGAACACACACACGCACGTACGCACGCACGCGAACACACACAGCGTGCGAACGGCAGCAAAGTTAACTGATATATAATAGTTTGCTGGGTACATGTGTCTCCCGAGTAACATTTGAAATGGAGACATCTCGTTCTGGAACATTACACGGAGGAATTCAGCGCAGGCGCCATGATGTGACACGCACGCGCTCGCGAAAACAAACGTGTCGACAAAATACGCGCACCATATTTTGGCACCATTTCGGCCGGGTGTGAAATAATACAGTGCACATACTGCACAGGACACGACCCCAGACAGAGCACAAGGCTCTCTGCCTCGGACTAGAATCACCATGCTTGGGGTATTAAACACGCACACCCAATGCAACACCAACACACACAGCATCGAACCTTCTCTCGATACCTCTGCTGTCATACAACAGTCGGGACAACAAACGAAGTCTAGTAGACCACCAAACGCACATCTATTCACTCCGTTCCCGAAAAGTACTAGAATGTTTTGGAACTGCGAATGTAAAGTCGGTTTCGCGACAGTGCGAGGGGGTATAAGAGCCGGGAGAAAGAATACACGGCTACGTCTAGAACACTGCATCTTCGACGCGACGCAGCACGCCGTTACAGCAGGTTAGCACAATGCGCCGTAAACTAGGAATCACACGAGCAAACGTGGCGAGATGCTCTCCCGCGATTCTCGATTCAACGCAGCTTCGATAAGAACACCGACCGCGGCACGCGTCGTCGCGGCCCGCCGCGTTGAGCAAGATGGCGTCCTAGCTCTTACCGACGTCCTGCAGCGAGCGCCGCTTACTGCCGGCGTCCTGTTCGCGCGCCGCAGAGACGTCCGGCATCACAGCTCCCCGCGCGCGGCCACCGCCATGCGACGACGGCTCGCTACGGTGCTGCACCCTCCTGGAGGCGTCCGGCGACACCGCGCTCAGGGACAGAAGCCGCGACGAGTCCGGGGGCGCGGCGCCCCGCTCTACTGGTGGTCCCATCGTTTCGGAATTTGGCATGGTCTGTGAGCGTTGCAGTTGTTCCCTGTTGCGCCTGTGCTGGCTCTCGTGAGCTGGCGGCGGGGGGGCGAACCTTGCCGCGCCCGCCTTCATCGTCGCCGCGTGCCCAGCTGTGGCAACAAAGCGCTTATACGCTTATTACGCTTATCACGCTGAGGTAGAGGTAGGCATCACAATCTTAACCGCTCCATTACGAAATTAAGCTGCACATTAAATTTAAGTTAATTCCGATATTATTGTGTTTGCTGCACTGGATAATATAATGAAAGTGTCAATGACACTGTAGCTCACCTTGGGTGTGATAGAAGAGGGAGGGGAGATATATAAGGCAAGCGTATATATGGGAGAACTCCCATTATATAGCATATCTCCAATTATATACTCTTGATAATGATATATGCATAAGTTTTGACACGAAAATAAATGTTTCAGATCTGAGTCTGAAATCTTGACGAGAGATGGCGCTACGCCTAAATGATCGCTATTTTGGTTTTCGAATATCACGCAAATAAAAACAATAAAATATTCCAGTCAAATTACTGTAACGAAGAATCTAAAACACAATATTACACGTATATAGGTATGATTGTAGAGTTGTTGACCAGTTAGACGAAATAAACGCAATAGAACGGTGTCATCTCTCCCATAAGAGTAATAACTGTTTTGGGGCTAGCCTTACACCGACTAGCTCTAGGCCGCAGAGCTATAGAACATTTTCAGCTAGATTTCGCTGCTGCAACAGTTCCCAAAAAGTGTAAAGTTGTGGAAAGTGCTCAAAAAGATAGGTGAGATGTTCACGTAGATAGATAAGTGTGAAAAATCCCGATCATTTTGCGTTTTGTAAAGCGATTTTTCATGGGAACTTTGGGAACTGTTGCAGCAGCGAAATCTAGCTGAAAATGTTCTATAGCACTGCGGCAGTCAATGTACGCGGGCTATAGTACTAGAGCTAGCCTTATACATTCACATACCAAAATTTAACAAAATCGAATGAATTTAGATGGCCATTTTCATTTTTGCCAAAAAGTGGGCGTGGCTCGAAAGTAGGTCGACTGGCGTGCTCCAAAATAGGAAGTTCAAATCTCTCCCATAGGAGTAACAACTGTATTCAATTTGAAACATGTGGGTCAAACGGTTCTTGAGTTATCGTTGACCGTAGCCTAGGCAGACACTGAAATGCATAGTTAAATTGCCAAAATCTACCCAATTTCCATAATTAAAAAAAAATCAAAACCCGTGTGATGTTTTGGGGCCAGTCCTTATTCATTCACATACTAGAAATGAGCAAAATCCATTGAACCTGAACTGTCCTATGGCCATTTCCATTTTTGCCAAAAAGTGGACGTGGCTCGAAAGTAGGTCGACTGGCGTGCTCCAAAATAGGACGTTCAAACCTCTTCCATAGAAGTAACAACTGCATGCAATTTGAAACATGTGGGTCAAACGGTTCTTGAGTTATCGTTGACCATAGCCAAATGTTGACGGACGGACGGACGGGTGGACAGGCGGACGGACGGACAGACATACGACGGATGACACCCCATGGCAATAGCTCATCTTGACGATGTCAAGGCGAGCTAAAAATGAAAAAACCAGAAGGAGAGTAAGAAAGTGGAAGGGCAAACGACTTCAGCAAGAGTTAGTAAGGGTGAAAAGCAGTATGGGAGTTTATTTAATTATGCCTTAATTTAAGGCCATTCTGAAATGATTTTGCTTGCTATGCTTGGAAATGGAAGGACGCAAAAACACCAGAGGGAGAGTGAGTAAGCAGGAAGGCAAAAAAATTCGGGGAAGAGTTAGCAACCGTGAACAGGGATAGAAATTAACTTTTGAACAAGGGAGTCCAACAGACTCCCTACCCTCAAAAAGAGGGAGTCCGCAGCAAAATGAGGGAGTCCGCAGTCTGAGGTTCAAAATTAAAGATATTAACAATAACGCATGTGCTTATAAGGTTCATGCAGTTGCACGTCTGCTAAATTTTCTTTGAACATTAGCTGAAAAAATACAGTAATTCTACGAGGCTGTGCTCCGGAACGAACTAGTTAGTATGGCAGAATTTTCAGGTAGTCACACGGACTCCTGCATATGTCAAATCAGGGAGTATTTGACTCCGAACTCCCGTTAATTTCGCACCCTGCGTGAGTAACAGTATAGCAGATAAACCACTACACACCTCCAGGAACCTCCTGTGTCGTCTGAGAATCCAGCCTATTGTATAACTGTAGAATGTGTTCCTCGAATCGCGCAGCTATGGCCTTCATTGCTTGATACTTGCCCTCCAGAGCCTGAAATACACACGTGATGCAACGAGATGCAACATATATCAAAGAGTAAAGAGTGCCGTGAACACAGCCATGAATTTGCGACTGCATCTAAGGCCATAATAATAATATTGTTTGTTTGCCCTCACCCGACCGACCCGCCAAAAAAGGGCCAACTCAAAAATGTTTATTGATCTTTTTCTTTTTCTTTTTTAAACAAATTGTATCACTGTACATTAAATAAATCTGTAGGCAATACATTATATGTACTAAGCAAAAGAAACATTCAACATAGAATTGGTATCTCCACACAAGCACACCCGAGCATGCTCATATAGACACCATGCTGAATTTGTAAAAAGACCCGCACCCTCGAAAAAAGAAAAGCAAAGCCGACCTACCTACCCAAACTTTTCAGCCTGGGTCGGGTGAAGGCAAACAAAAATGGCCTAACCACGATTTGCTGTAACATTTACACACGCTGCACACTCACACACACTGCCACATTCTTGGCCCACACGCGTGCAAGCACGCACGCACACACACACGCACACACGCACACACGCATGCATGCACACACACACACACACACGCACGCACGCACACGCACGCAAGCACGCACGCACACACGCACGCACGCATACACACACCTGCTCATACGTGAGGAACATCACACACATGTAGACTCGTATGCAAACACAATAACGTACATCATGCTAAGTAAACGTTAGGTTTCATGCGATGACTCGCGTTTAGGTTTTACTGTGATGCAGGCCACGAACGAGAAGATTTAGAAGCAAATTACGAATGCCAGAGGCTTTACCTGTATCTTTCCCTTGTCCAAGCTCTTGCTGTGCTCTAGCGATCGCTTCTGCTCGGTTATGATCAGATCTTTCTTGCCGAGTGCAGCCTCCAGTTCCACTAGCCTAGTATTCTTCGCTTCCAGCTGCGATTCGGTCACCTTGAGCTTACGTTTCAGTGCTAACGAAACAGTACGAACTGCATTATTAGTACGTGACAAGTATTGAGCTATAGTACCAACATGCTGTGATATACAAACAAAACATAGGTAGGGGGCTTTATTGCATTGCTGTTAGTCATACAGTATTTGTACACAATTAGAGTTACATATTCATATACTATTCTAAGTGTCATGTTGCATTTGCATGACACGCAATCATGAAAAATTAACAATTTGGGGTGGGCAGCTCATTCCAATTCCATGCAGGCCAAATGTAAAAATAACCCACCAGTGAGATATTCAATTTTAGACATAGACAATTATTAGAGGAGTTAGCTTCACGCAGCAAGGTAGGAAGATTCTCCTGAAATTCCTGGGGAGAAGCCAGCGTGGCATTAATAAGTGATACCGGAAAGTCCAACTGTGTTATTTAGGTCATAGAAAAAGGGGGATAAAATGGCCGCGGCGCTCTACGGAAAGTACATGATTAATGTAAACACTCGTGCGTTTTTAATTTTTGCATTAACACAAACATTGCAAAATATCCCAAATGACCACAATCATATTTGTAAATGTTTCTGTAAACAGAAACGCACCTGTGAATTGAAGTACAATGTTAGTGAAGAGAATTGTAGATCAAAAACCTACACTAGTACTATCGTAACTATGTTATAGGCAACTTATCACCCCTCTTATCTCATCTCAATATGGCGGCAAGGATTTTCCGATATGGTGCCCGTTGTCAGAAACAAAATTAGTCTTAACATTAGTCTTAACACTAACATTTTCTCGTAGACCGTCAACAGCCATTTGTTTCGTATTGTTATGAGGAAATCTGCTACGACTTTTCATCAGGTAACTTTTGCAGCGTTTCTGTCGACGGACTAAGAGAAAAAGTTAATGCTAAGACTAATGCTAAGACTAATTTTGTTTCTGACAACGGGCCCCTGGCTTATAACAGGTCGTACCGTTGATCTCGTGCGTGTAGCTGCCGATAAGGCTAGCCGGCAGCTCGGCGCACGGCGACGCCCCCTCCTCCTCCACACGCTGCTGGTACTTCTCGAGCAGCTCACCAGAGAGCAGCAGCTGCTTGCTGAGCTCGATCGTGCGCGCCTTCAGCGTGTTGTTGAGCGCCACCTCTCCCTCGATCATCTCGAGCCGATGCTCGGCCGTGAACAGCTTCGCCTGCGTGTTCTGCAGCTCCTGCAACGACGCGAGCAGCATGCTGCAGCCACGCTAGCCAGTAACCGCGCATCTAGCATCGGTGCGCACGATCCAAATAAATAAACGAACTAGTGGTGGTAAACACAACCAATATGGCAAGTCTCAGCAGGAACCTGCAGGAACCGTATCTCGAAGAAATGTCAAAATGATAAAAAGGTTTAGAAATTATAAGCGCGGAATCCTTCATAGGCATTCATGGTAACTGTATTCAAAGAAATAGAAAGGATTGATAAGAATTGAAATCATATACAGGGAGTCCTTGGTAAGCGTTCATGAGAACTGCATCAGAAGTAAGCAAAACGAAAATAAAATTGTATGACTGAACAACATACCGTGACAAGTTAACCACAAGGTTTTGTACATACACTCCAGAAATACTTCTTGTAGACATGGAAAATAATGAGCAACATAAACGAATTTACTATGAATGCAATTTTGGAAAGTTTATAATCTCCAAGTAATAATCTGAATAAATGTGATATTTTTTCTATTGATGTCACAGAACTAACCAACACGGAAGATGCCGTGTGTGTGCTTACATGTGAGTGATCACTGATGCAGTATTCATCTATATAATTTCAGCTTTGACAAAACACGTGTACAATGAGCACCAGTTGTCAGAAACAACATTACTTTTAACATGTGTATAATCCTAACTATGATCAAACTCCTAACTTTACTACATCTATGAGAAAAAGTGTTAAGACTAATGTTAAGAATAATATTTGTTTCTGACAATGGGTACAAGGACTCCACGGTAACGTGTTGATGAATGGGAAGACATTAATTGGCTTAATTACCATGACAGAGTAGCATCAAGCTGCGATGCACCGCAGTTCTTACAAACCTTATTGAGCATGTTGATCTCTGTGTGCTTTGTCTTGATCTCATTCTCTAGTTCCTTCGTCGCTTCAAAATACTGATCCTTCTGACGAATGTAGGCTCTGTCAGGAATAGTGAAGCCATAAATGCACGTTCTACCTCTCATGCACCAGCACACAAACGCACGCACGCACACGCACACACGCACGCACACACGCACGCACACATGTGCACACACACACGCACACATACCTATCCACACGCTCTATCCGTCTCATTATTTGAATCAGAAAATTGAATGTTCATTAGAACAGCGGACCTCTCGATCTGCGATACCGAACTAGCTATGCATCTAGGCAGCGTACGTACTGCATCTGTACTTGCTGCTGCGTCTTCTGCTCCTCCTTCGCATCTTTCACCTCTCTCAACTCCGACCGGACGCTCCTCAGCTCCTTCTTTAGCGATATGATCTCGCACTCCTGCAGATGCACCTGATCCTTCTGCATACAAGCAATCGCCACATCAGACAGACGACTAAAAAACTGCCCTCTATTCCGATAAACAACCAGAAAAAAATTTGAAATCTAAGACACCCCACGAATGTTCCGTCAGCGAACGGATCGCCATGGCGACGCGTGCATCCTCGGCAACCCTCACCATGGCGACGACCTTCTCCTCCATGGCGACGGACGCGTTGGCGCGCCGCAGCAGCCGGCGGTTGCGTTGTCCATGAAGGTCGCGCCGGTGTCGCTCGAACATCAGCTGGTTGTGCAGCAGCAGCTGCTGCGTGCGCAGCACCTGCAGCTCCTCCGCGGGCGGCGCTCCGCCAAAGTGCGTCCAGTCCGTGCTGCTCTTGCTCGTCAACGACAGCTTGCTCAGCTCCTGAAAGACGATTCCAGAGTCGTCAGAGGACGCACGCGTGTGGTCGAACGCATCGGGGAACGAATCTGGTGCCCAGTTAAAAGAACTGACCAACCTATCCACCTGGGATAAACCAACGACGCCTGACGGCACTATCACACATGAGCGTGGGTATCGCGCTACGTTATCACACATGAGCGTGGGTATCGCGCTACGTTATCACACCTTGGCGTGGGTGCTGTGAGCGAGCTGCACGTGTCGGTCGAGCAGCTCTGCGGGGGGCAGCGTCGTGTAGAAGGGGAACTCGCGGCCCGTGCGGTCCCGCGCCGTGCTCATCACCGGCTGCACGTACACGCTCGTCGTGTCGTCGCCATCGTCCACCATCGTCCTCGACGTCGTCGTCGTCGCCGCCGCCGCCGCCCCGTCCTCCGCCGGCGCCGACGCTAGAGACGAGACGACGTGAGACGGTTAGTCGCAGCCGAGACGCGAGACGTTGCTGTAACGAGCTAGCGTCATTGTCGAGACGCGAGGCGGCGCGTCGCCCGCAACCGTTATTGTCGAGACGCGAGACATCACGTCGCGTGAAACTGCCATTGTTGAGACGCGAGACATTGTGTAATGAGCAACCGCCATTGTTGAGACATGAGACATCTAATGGCTCGGCTGATAATAAACACAAGACATACCGTAATGGTAGAAGATGACAAATATTCTTAATGTATAATGAAGCAGGTACTAACCAGTTGTCACGCAACATTGCAACCCAAATGATAGGTCTACATAATAACTGATAGGAGGCAACGTGATGCAGCCGGCACAGTGGTGAAACAATGTATATCACTATGTATTTAGGCCCGCTCGCACAGATACTGCTATGTAGTAGATGTAGTAGTAGTATAGATAGTGAGTAGGGTCACGTAGCTCACCTGCCGATGTTTTCGCGTCCGATATCGCCGTCTGAGAGTACACTGCTGTGAACGCTGTGGAAGTGGTGGTGACGAGACTGATCGTCTTTGTCACTTTCTTACAGAGTAGGCACGGAATCTCCGAGACGACGGTGTCTGCGCAAGTTAATGAGCACGTGTTCACCGTTCAATGCGTGAGACATTCTTAATACGTAATACATAAGACAGAGACTCCCCGACTCACGTACAGGTTCGGTTCCGAGCGGTCGTTCGTAAGTCGATTTGTTCGTAAGTTGAACATATGTACGTACGTATACAGTATTGTACAGTAGTGTAGTATATGTACATGTGAACATCGAGTAACCTAGAAGTGTACATAGTGTAAACATATACGTGAACACAGGAGTTGGGGAAAGTCAAAATCAAGGGGGCGATTGTGTCTTTTTATTCACCAATATTGACATTATACACTAATGGACTTCAGGGCAAGTTGTTCGTATCATCTAAAGTTTGTAACTCGAATGTTCGTAAGTCAGGGAGTCTCTGTACTTAAATCTGTATGAGCATTTGTGTCATTTCATCTCTCGCTTATGACCCACACCCACCACTTCTTGACCCATCCCGCCTCTCAGTCCCCTGTTACACGCCGCATCGCCGTGCGTACCGTGCGTCTGCTGATGTTCACTGTCGGATTTCTCGTTGCTGCCTTCGTCAAGCGCAGAGCACGACCGCCAGCGCCGCCTAGGAGCAGGTTTCTCCGCCATCATTACGATGTCCGACACCTGTACGACCACGTGAGATACATCACGACAGCACACTCAGAAGTTAACTCCCGCCATGTTCCTCGCTCTCCCACTCTCGGCATTACCATGGAGGGGATTCCCATTCACTTTCAGCGGACATACCGTAAAAATAGTCCTTAGCCCGAGATGCAGCAGTCCAACAAAAAGGATAAAAGTATCGCGAAAGAAATGCTGCATAACCGATTAAAAGTGGGCACGTGTAATCGCAATATGATACACTGCAAAATAGGTTGGCAGGTGGAGCCACTAAACATAACTTGAGGGAGGCTAGAAGGGAGGGCATGTTCACTAACCTCTGGCACGCAGTGGCTGTAGAAGCGAATACGGTTGACCTTGCGCATGAAGTCCACCGCCCCTTCCCAGGAGGTGAGCGTATCTCCCGTCACCTCACCCTCCTCGACAGACTCGGAGCTCTCACTCTCCTTCTTCGGTCTCTCAGCAAGCTCAAAACTACGACATATACAACATATACATGTAGAAATTGTCATATTGCACACACAAATATATATATACGTACATACAAATACACATTCACGGTATGCAAACAAACACATATATATATATATTTATTTATTTATTTCAAAGTAATATACGTGTATGTGTTATTTATATTACACATATAAATATATATATATATATTATAAAGCGGCAGCTTTAGCTTAATAAAAGTAGCTAAGTACCTAGTAACAGCCCCTTGCCGAGGAACAGTTTTTATATCAGGCATGCTGTTCGTTGCCTGGGAGAAGCATAACAAAGAGCCCGAGTTGTCCAGGTCAAGAGAAGAGATGCCCTCCTCTCTCACTCGACATTGCTGTATCGTCTCTGCCACCCCCTGACTCACCAGCTCTGATACCTCCCTATCAAAGGCACCTATAGAAATATCGGTAGAGTACAGTACAGAGTAGAGAGAGTACATGGGTAATGATGATAATTTGACTATTACTTTAGCGCAAAAGCCAATAACCATCCAACCAGCAACTAATAAGTTCAATAACAGGTTTACAGTTGGTTCATTGCTAACGTTATAGCTAAATGGCATCGAGTGATAAGCTTGCCAAACACCAGATGGATAGTGTATTGGATCTGCATCCCATAGACATGGTCCAGTCACAATGTCTACATGTGCTTTAGACCCAGACTGTCCACACTTCCATGAAGCCATTTTATCAGTTTAAAAACAAACCTGATTACATTACTATTATTAATAGTAATATTATTGCCATGCTCATTTTGAAAATAAACAATGTATTTCACAAACGGGAAACAATAAATCACCTAGTTCTCTATCCTCCAAGTCAGAACGTCTGTCCATCGATAGCTTCTCAATGACATCAGGCAAGTTGTTGACAGTCACCATCGAGTTGTCCTGCAAACAAAGCCAGATTCCACAAATTCACAAAGGAGTCGTAAGAAATGGCACACACATTTGCTTGATGTAGCGAAGTCATCACCTGCAAGTCATCAGACAACTACAAAATATCATGCTAGATTTTCCCCACGCCAGCGTTAAATCACGATATTCCAGTAATACCAACATGCTTCGTTTAAACGACAAGATACGATCTTGAAGTTCGTTTGCCAAGAGAAACATCTGTTAAACGAGATCATTATATCCTTACGCCTCACTACGATAGAGGGCTCTCACAACAGCATTGTTAGTATGTAAGCATAACATGAGACAGAGGATGGGTACCTATAGAGGTGATGGTCGAGCTTACCTTTTCGATATTTTCCACGTTTAATTGACGTTTTTTTATGAATGATACCATACTTAACCTACTGCACAGCAGTTATTAAAACTTTTCTTGTTTCTCAAAACGAAAATTTCATTGAGCTACGCCTCATCAAACAAGGCATGATGAGTTTATGCATTCGTTACTGCGGTGACGACTTGCGCTCACTAACTCACCGGCTGCGTTGCGTCAGAAACTGCCGCCGCTGTCGTCTTTGTCGTCATCGTCACCGCCGCTACCGTTGCCACCGTTGCCGTGGTTCCCACCGTGCGCAGCAGCGACTCGGCCTGCGCGGATGTACGCCCCGTCCACGGCTCCGCCTTCTCATTCAGCCGCGGCGTCTCCGGCGCTGACAGCGGCTCAGTGGAGCCACCTGTGGGGCTCGACTTTGAGGCGGCGGTGAGCGCCTTTGAAACAAAGGTGCGTCGCTTCACATCGGCCTGCTGTGTGCAAGAGCGCGAGACATCGCATGAGGGGGTATCACACCAAGCTGTTGAATCTGTATGTGCATGGGCATGCACATGCATACCTGCATGTATGTGTGTGGGTGCGTGCGTGCGTGCGCATGTGTGTGTGTGCATATGTGTGTGTCTGTGTGTGTCCGTGCATGGCTTAATAATTTCCTCATCCACTGGCTCAAGCCTACTTTTGCTATACACTGCGTCTGCAATTGGTGTCGAGAAGCAGTGCTTACACTAGGTGGCAGCACCGCTCATTGATTTTCAGCAGGTAAGTGATTTTAATTTTATGGCATGTGACATTGCTACCAATGACACCAATGTAGCATCAATTACAATGCTATACTTTTTTACAGTTATATAACATATACATGTATATGTTATATAGCTGTAATATATATATATATATCAGGAGTAGATAATAGGGAGGAGTGTGACATCAATAAACAAGGGAAATTCGTCATTTACTAGCCTTATAATACCTACGATTTACTACGCGTAACTCATCCAACCTGAGCTCAAATCGGACACAGTACATTC